AACAAGCAGGTCGCGACACCGTCTTCTTTGTTCGAAACGCCCACTCCAAGTCGGTTCAGGAACGCGATGGACGAAGACATCGTTAAAGATGTCTTTGACATGCTAAAGAATCGCAACGTGCCCCTCTCAGAGCATTGCGAGAAGGAGCTTAGGACTGTGCTAGTACGGCACAGCAAAAGTGCAGAAGGATACAGGAGAGGCCGCGACCTCATGCGCAGCACGATCAAAGCGAAAGACGCCAGAATCACGGAGCTGACGCATCGCAACAACACACTCGCAGCTGAGCTGGAGGCTGAGAAGGCTACTGTCAAATATCTTCGATGGGAAGCGCAGGACGAGCAGGACACTTGACCGCTTCATTGTACACAGCATACTTGTTCAACTTGAAAGCGCCGCTTTTTCATTAGCCCTAATGGGATGGTGCTGTGGCTGACACAGATCCTGTGGCTCACAGCACCATCACCGTAACACCAAAGACGACCATCCTGACCTCACTCTAGCGGGCATATTACCAGATCGTCGGGCCACCCCACTACACTCAGCGCGTCCTGAAATGTGGCACACGGCTGCATAGCACGAAAAGGCAACCCACACGATGCCGATCGCACGGCACCCTGATGCTAGCACCGTGACGGGTTTACATACCTGTCGCGCATAGATTTGCTTAACATTTCTTTTCGCAGAAGTTGACATTCACTCTACGGTGACCTCCGGGCACCCCATGAGACATTAAGAATTTCCAAGGCAACCTGAGATCGGTCCGAGTTGCTCAGACGGCAAACAAGCACTCAACGTAGTGCGAAGGAGCGTTGGTGACGTGACAGCTGCGGCGGAACCGAGCCCTGCCCAGCGTTGGCACGCGGATGTCGGCATTGATAGCAAATATGATTCGTCGGGGTTTCTTAGACCCCAACCATCTTACGTACGCCAGGCCTTTGCCGATGGACCTTTCTCCACACCCTCCCCAGCGGAAGCTTGGCTCCCAACGGTGCACCTCCACAACCTCACCGAGATCCGTGTTTATGCCCCATAGCATGCAGTGATTTACCAACAAGAAGGACCCATTCAGTGACAAAAGCTTGTTCTGTGTGATGGCCAGCATCGGAGTTACCGTGACCCACACCACCGATGGTCTGATGGGGCGGCTCAACCATGTGAATTTACCTAGAGGCTGCAGGGTCACTCTCAAGCCACTACCACCATGAACCGAACGTGGGCTGAAGAGATTTGGTACAATCTTGGCGGACGTAGTGGGGCGGGTGCCCTGAACAGGATACAAAGGCAGTTCACTTCTCGATGTTGACATTGACGCTTCCCTCCGTATTCCATTTCTCTATTCTAAGTGGCTTTGATCCAAGATTGTGAAGGTCAATTGTCTATACTTGCAGTCTTTTCGGGGGCGAGCATCTTACCATTTTCCCCTCTGATTCTCGCCAGAAGGCGCCTTTGTCAAGATGGCAATGCCATTCTTGCGAAAAGTCGGCAACTACTTAGCGCCTCCTGCTTCGCAAAGCGAAGATGGTCGTGATCAGTGGCCTTCTAGAGCAGCTTTTCTTCTCGCTGCCATGGGTGGTTGCGCCGGCCAGGGCAACTTGCTTAGATACCCTAGTGTTCTTTACAACAACTATGGCCTCCAATGGTTCATCCCGTATCTGCTGGCTGTTTTTCTCATTGCTATCCCGGCCCTTATCTTGGAAGTATCTATTGGCCAGGCGTATCGTGGTGGCACTGTAATTGCTTGTAAGACAACCCATTTGGTGGATACACGCCAAATGCCAGACTAACATGCCTCTGCTAGTCAACAATATAAACGCGCGTCTAAAAGGCGTGGGTATGGGCCCTGTAATCGTCAGTTTCCTCGTTGTACAATACTTTACTGTCAACCTGGCTTGGTAAGCAAACACTCTCTTCACGAGTTCCAGACTGGATCTGTACTGATACCAGTTTACACAGGATCATGAGATACTTCCAAGAAAGCTTCACCAGTCCCTTGCCGTGGACCAACCGCATCGACGACTTCTACTACAACGACGTTCTCCAGCGTGGAGAAATCAACGAAGGAAGCCTGAGCGCGGATGGCAATTCCGTCCTCTCCTTTACTGGATACCCCAATGGAGCTCTTATCGGTGAAACCGTCGGCTGGAGCATCTTTGTCTGGTTTCTTATTTGGATCTCAATCTTCCGTGGAGTCGGCATGACCGGACGCGTCGTCTACTTCACAATGGGCTTACCCATCGTCACCACCATAATCTTCGTCGGGCGCGCGCTATCCCTTCCTAATGCGAGAGAAGGAGTGGACCTCGTGTGGAGAACGTGGAGGAGCGATCAGCTTGCCTCGGGCGTTGTCTGGCAGACGGCTGTTGGTCAGGTCTTCTTCTCCACTGGTATTGGCTTCGGATATTTCACCTCGTACGCGAGCTACAACACAAAGCATGCCAACGCCGTTATGGACGCCTGCCTCATCTGCGGTAGCAACGTATTGTTCGAAAACTTCGCCGCGTTCGCCGTGTTTGGCGTCGTCGGGTACCTGCGAAGGTGGCCGCAGGATGGCGTTCGTCTCGGTGCTTTTGTCGTAGGGTTCCTCACGCTGCCTGAAGCTGTGTTGCAGATGCCTGGAGCAAACTTCTGGGCCGTACTTCTCTTCTTCACGCTCATTGTTCTTGGCTTCAGCTCCGCTTTTGTCATGCTCGACGTTGTGGTTACGTTGGTTTGTGATTCTGGCATGACGAAGGCTTCGAGACCGGTTGTTGTCACTGCGCTGACAGTGCTTTCCTTTTTGATGTAAGCAATCGCCTTCTCATTTGTCTGTGGTGCCATGAATCCGCTACTAACTAGGTTGGCTATAGGTGTCTGCCATACTGCACAGAGTTTGGTTACTACCTCCTCGATGGCATTGATCGCTGGGTGAACAACGTAGCTCTCATCTTCGTCGTCTGGAGCGAAGTATCAAGCGCCACAACCGTCTACCGCTGGCGCGACATTGTCGATCAAACCGGTCTCCCCGCCTTTATTGTCTACAACATTGGTTTCTTCGGTGGCCAGATTTTCGGCATCAGCCTTGCGCACGGTATCAGCCAACCCGGAGCTGGCGCCGGGGCAGGAATCGGGTTCTACGTCCTCATGGCCATTGTAGCTGTCATCGTCGCACGGCCTCCCGATGCGCGCGCGCCGAGTTTCTGGAACGCGAATCCCTTCATTAGGAAATTCTGGTTCTTGGCGTTCTATTCTGGTAACCAATTACGAAGAGACCTTAATGTTATCGTTGGCCAGGGCAAGAACTGGAAGATACCAGCTTTTATGCCGTTCCTTCTGAGGTACCTCAGTGGACCTGTCCTCGCCATCATCTTTAGCTTCGCGTTCCCGGAATTCCACACTCTGAGATACGATCCTATGATGATTGCTGGATTCATCTTGTCGATACTTACAATCATTGTTGTTTTGTTCGGCTTGGTCATGCCGAGATACTACGTTGTCTTCATTCCTGCCCACCGACGACTCGAAGGGACAGAACCGACGGTGGCGATGCAAACCAAGGGCGAACTGGCGGGTAGACCGGTTGCTGAGATGTTGAACGCTGAGCAAGGGCTTCCTTCGCCGCCACCATACTCGCACGAGCCGGGCCATTCGGGCGTTATGAGAGACTCGTCTTCGGGGCAAGAGGTGGAAGATGACAAGCATGTCAAGACGACTGGATTGAAGTAATCCACGACTGGATTACCGTGGCCCAAGTCCTCACCTTGTTTTTTTGCTCTTCTGGCCGGAGTTTGATTGTTTTGGGCTTGCAGCAGCGCTTTTGGCGGTGACGTGACAGCGTCGCATCTTGGTTCTGTTCTCCTGGGACGGTGATTTTGTTTTGGTGCAGAGATCGCGATATTGCCAGACGCAGCCATGATACATACTGATAGTCCAGGAGGATAGTGAACGTCCCAAAGCATGAAAATGCTGAGCTAACTCATCCGCGCCTTCCGCTATTTCTCCCACCCTTATGCGACCTCCCTCCAGCCTGAGATGCCAAACCTGTTCTCGACAGTGCACATAGCCAGAGTCATACTTGCAAGCAAGCTCAGGTCCAAGCTCCTCTGCGCTCGGCGAATTGGCCTTGTAGCATTGTAGTAGCCGTACATACCAGATGGTCGCCGATATTGACAGGCTCAGATTGAACATTGGTTTGCGTCGAGACATAGCCGATGCAAAGCCGTTAATGTGCCGATCTTCCTATCAGAAAGCAGACTGCTTACAGACTAATTTCGCAAAAACGCGTAACTCCCGTTCTGGACAAGGGCCACCGGGACTGTTGCCCCGCAATCACGATGCCGTCCTCCCGCGTGATACATCGCATAGGGCTGTCGGTATTCCCAGATTGATTTCGATATGTATAGATGATGATCATGCATGTCGGGAGCCAAAGATGTGCGAAGCTGGGGCAAGCGAAAAGCTTGTTTTCACGTGGCTGCAGATGTGCTGATATTGACATGGCATAAGCCAAGAAGTAAGCCATCATAGAAGAGTGAAGTAAGATTTCCTTTACACAATTGCTCTGCACGCACATGTTTGCCCCGGGTTCGTTCACCAACGATACGATGTGGCGAGTCAGACGGGTGGGTTGCGCAGTTTGTGCGGTGACCCGCTAAACCTCATTTGTGGTGACTGCGCGACTTGTGCGGCCGCCACTGTCACGCTTTTCGACAATGAATCACAATCGTAGGTGGTAATGACATATCACGCAGAAATCACTCGGGAAAACGTAGTTTCACTTATATGCAGAGTTTCTCAGTATTGTGTTGTGTTCTCCTTGGACTTCTCTTTCTTCATCTACGCCCAGTCGCTTCTTTGATTGCTTTGATTGCGTGAGGCCAGCCGTTGGCTATTTCCCAGGACTGGTGCCCACTACGACCAATAATTATCCCCCAAACCAGAAGCTCATCTACCCGATCGACTGAGGACTACCGATACTCTCGATATTGCGTAGCCAACGTCACCCAAAACCCGAACCTGTCACTATGTCACCCGCGGCACCGTCACCCAGATTGCGCTACCAAGCAGTAGCGAGCACTATCACCACGACATGCTTTATTTCTAATCTGCATTGCCCGTCATGTGTCGACGGTATCCAGGCCTCTCTCAGCGCGCTCGATCCCCTGCCACAGGACGTTCTTGTTTCCATCGTTTCGCATTCAGTGGTTGTGCGCCACGCCACAAGCCTTGACGTCGACGACATCACGGTCTCGCTCGAGGCTGCTGGATTCGAGATACATAGTGTGTTTCAGGACAACAAGGCGGTTAGGAATCCGATTGAGGTCAAGAACCCTGAGGGAACGAGCAGGGAGTGGCATACAAGCTTTGAACGCGCTGTGAACAATTGGTTACGTCCTGTCGCAGACCTCGACGGTTCGCACGACGACATGAAGAAGAAAGAGACACATCTCGCTCAATGTGAGCAGTGTAAGAAAGAAGGTGGTGGAGTCACTTTGCACAGCCAAGAGGTATCGCCGTTCAAGCCTGCGCCTATCGTTACGTCTTCGCCGAGGGGTAGTTTTGATGGCTCTACATCGCCTGAACCAAAGTCGCCTACATCCGAGGCTTTTGTCGCTGTCAACTCATCAGTCTCTCCACAAGTCTACAAGGTGACGCTGGCTCTCACCGGGATGACGTGCAGCTCATGCGTCTCCGCTATCACCCACGCGGTTCAACAACATCCATGGGTCCAATCGGTCAATATCAATCTTCTGACAAACAGCGGGGTGATTGTATTCAGTGGCAAGGACAAATGCGGAGAGGTTGTCGAGACGATCGAAGACTGCGGTTTCGACGTTGCAGTCGAGAAGCTGGAAGAGGTCCAGCACACGTCATCAAGAACGGTGGCGGCATCTAAGCAGCAGACCGAGAAATGGCGCGCAACATATTCCCTCGGAGGCCTCACATGCTCCGCATGCGTCGGAAACGTGAACCAAGCGCTGCAACCTCTTACATGGATCGAGAGAGCCGACATTAACCTGATCTCGAACAGTGCGACCATCGTTTTCCGGGGCAAAGAGCATCTTCCTGAAATCAAGGAAACCATTGAAGATATTGGATACACTGCAACACTAGATCAAGTTATACAAGAAGGAACTGCGTTGACTGAGAGTATGGAACGTTCTGTCGCAATCCGCATAGATGGTATGTTCTGTCACCACTGCCCACACAACATCACGCGAGGATTGCAAGAATCGTTCGCAGAAGAAGAGAGTCTCGTGATAGAGGATCCACCGATATCTCTACAGCAACCTATCCTTCACATCAGATATGTACCGAATTCTCCTCGGTTCACGATCCGAAAAATCTTCGCAACAATTGAAAGCTTTAACCCTGCATTCCAGCCCTCGGTCTTCCACCCTCCGACTCTTGAAGAGAGAGCGCGCGAGATGCATGCGCAAGAGCGGACACGTATCCTGTTCCGTCTTGTACTGTGCATCATAGTCGCTATCCCTACGTTTGTCCTTGGCATCGTCTTCATGAGCTTGATTAGCTCTAAGAATCCTATACGTAGATACCTTATGGGCAACATGTGGGCAGGCAATGTTACTCGACTCAGCTGGGCGCTCTTCATCCTCTCTACACCCGTCTACTTCTTCGCCGCCGATACGTTCCACCGCCGCGCGCTGAAAGAGCTGAGATCGATGTGGCGACCAGGGAGCCGAACACCGTATCTACATCGCTTCACACGTTTCGGCAGCATGAACATGCTCATCTCGCTCGGAACAACGATCGCATATCTGGCGTCTATTGTTGAGCTCATCTTGGCCGCCACGAAGAAGTCTTCTGGCTCGATGAATGATTCCTACTTTGACGCGGTTGTCTTCTTAACCATGTTCCTACTCATCGGTCGATTCTTGGAAGCTTACAGCAAGGCGAAAACTGGCGATGCTGTCACCTCGCTTGGTAAGCTCCGCCCAAATGAGGCCATCCTTGTTGATGCGGAGAAAGGCGACACCAGGATCGCTACTGATCTTCTTGAGATTGGTGATGTCGTCCGAGTCCATAATGGCACTTCGCCGCCTTTCGACGGAGACATCATTGAAGGGAACTCGAACTTTGATGAGTCGAGCTTGACTGGTGAATCGCGTCCGGTCAAGAAGGCAGAGGGCGATACGGTCTTCTCCGGCACTGTCAACAAAGGCGCTCCAATCAAGATCAAAGTCACAACCGTATCTGGTACTTCGATGCTGGATCAGATTATCAATGCTGTGAGAGAAGGACAGTCGCGCCGCGCACCTGTTGAGCGTGTCGCTGACACGATTACCTCGCACTTTGTACCTTTTGTCATTGCCGCCGCCATAACTACATGGCTTGTTTGGCTGATTCTCGGTACTACTGGGGCCATACCCAGCGACTGGAAGAACGAGAGTGCTGGTGGTTGGGAGCTCTGGTCTCTCCGCTTTGCCATAGCTGTCTTTGTCATCGCCTGTCCTTGTGGCATCGGTCTTGCTGCGCCAACTGCGCTCTTTGTCGGAGGCGGTCTGGCTGCCAAACACGGTATCCTCGTACGAGGAGGTGGTGAAGCTTTCCAGGAAGCTAGCTCATTGGACTGCATCGTTTTTGATAAGACTGGTACCTTGACACAAGGTGGTGACCCAGCGGTGACAAATCACAAGTTCTCTGAGAACCAGAACGCTGCGTTCGTGCTGGGCATTGTCAAGGCGCTCGAGGAGAACAGTAATCATCCTATTGCTCGAGCACTTGTATCGTTCTGTGACCAGGAAGTTCACAATACACCCGTTGCGGTCAATGTTGATGAGGTTCCTGGAAAGGGTTTAAAGGGTACGTTTAGGATCGATGGTCGAGAGATTACCGCTATCATTGGTAACGAAGGCTTCATGGCTGATCACCACGTACCCGTTCTCGCTCAAGATGCCTCATCGCTACAGAAGTGGAAGTCTCAAGGTGAGTCGGTCGCTTTAGTCGCATTGTTCCTACCACAGGACGGCGATCAAGGTGCTCTTCAGCCTTCCAAGCCTCCCACTGAATCGGAGTCCCTATCAACCGCCATTACCGGAACCCCAAGCTCATCAACATGGAGACTCGCATGCATCTTCTCCATCGCTGATCCACTGCGTCCTGAAGCACCAAGCGTTATCTCAGCTTTGCAAGAACGCGGTGTAGACGTATGAATGTTATCTGGCGACAACCAAATCACCGCCAACGCAGTAGGTGCACAAGTCGGCATCCCCGCCTCCAATATCATCGCTGGCGTGCTGCCAGACCAGAAAGCAGAGAAGATCAAGTACCTCCAGCAAACGCTGACCAAGCCGCACAAGTCCTTGTTTCATATCCCGTCTCTATCTCGAAACAAGAACTTGAAAGAGCAAAAGATGAGCAAGCAAAAACGTGCAACCGTAGCCATGGTAGGCGACGGCATAAACGACGCCCCCGCTCTCTCCACTGCCGACCTCAGCATAGCAATAGGTTCCGGATCCGACATCGCCCTTTCCTCATCCTCGTTCATCCTCATCAACTCGCGCCTCACGACCATTCTCACTCTCCTCGACCTCTCGCGCGTGGTTTTCCGCTGTGTGTATTTTAATTTCGGATGGGCCCTCGTTTACAACTTGGTCGCTATGCCCATTGCTGCTGGCGTCCTATTTCCCATTACGACTGGTGGTAGTAGCAAGAAGATGGATATGCATCATAATGGGATTGGGATGGAAGGGGGGATGGCAATGGAGGAGTCTGGTAGGAAGCACGTTAGGCTTGATCCTGTCTGGGCTAGTTTGGCCATGGCGTTGAGTAGTGTGAGTGTGGTTTGTAGTAGCCTGGCGTTGAGGAGTAAGGTGCCTGGGCTGGGGTTTAGGGTGAATCGGGGATTAGAGGAGTTGGTGGATGGTGTGGGTAAGAGGAAGGAAAGGGCTGGGGACGAAAACATTGTGTGAGAGGTTTGGTGAAGATGGGGTAGTTTGTATGGTGTGATATTCCTATAATCAGACTGTCCTAGGTACAAACTACTCGTCCTAAGAGAGACTCTTTTGCTTCTATAGGATTCAATGGAGCATTGAATAAACACGAGGAAGTATTCCGTAAGGAGGACCCTTTCCGTCTCGATGAACTCCGCTCAGTGTACAATTGAGCAGGTTGCAACTGCTACAAACCCCTCTTTACGTCTACAATATCGATAGATCGCTGTCAAACATCAAAAACCGTCAAGACTACTGAACTTGCCACTAGTAGTCGCTTTGTGATGAGCGTTTTGATTTGTCAGTTTCTTTACTGTTTAAATGGCAATCGCTGATACGGGAGTATGGTTGGAACAAGAAGTAGTGATGAGGCTAGCTAATTTTTATAAAAGAAAACCTACTCTTGAACTCTTGACAGTCTTCTAAATTCATTGATTTGCCGTGTATCCATTTCATAGCAGTCCCATCTCAGACATATGGGGTGATAATTTTGGTTACACAAAGCGGGGTAGGCTCCATCTTCAAGTACCTCACCTTCCCTTAATTCATCTCTTATCACACAAGATATTCCTCACAATGAAGTACCAGTGTCCACTTTGCCCCAAGAAATTCACTTCCAGAAACATGCTGAGACAGCACACCGGCACTAACGACGCAGCCCTCCGCCGTGCCCACCTGTGCACCAAATGCGAGCAGACGTTCTGCAGCCAGAGGGCGATGGAGCAACATCGCGACGCTCCATCTCACGATACCATGTTCACCTGCGACGTGTGTAAGAGGCCTTTCGGAAGTAGGCAGGCTGTGGAACAGCACAATAAGAAGTCTTCACTACACGCGAGAAGGCTGGCTCAGGCAAATCTTGCAGTTGGAAATGTGGTAGGTGCGTCGTCGAACCCGCGAAATGTAGGTTCACAATCTCGTAACGCGAAGGTATACATGATCCAAACGCTAAGATATGTCCGAGCCTTCATCTTACCAGATGGAATCCCTTGAACGAGCGACGCCCTCCACTCCGATCAAGGAAGGCACGCGTAGCAGTTCCGACAGCTGGGAAGAGTACTCCGATGACGAAGACATTCTGGCGGAAGATCGCCCCGGAGCGGTCTGGGACGAGGACCAGAACTGGGCGCTCTGTGATACAGATTGTGGATGGTGCGGACATTGTGCTGATGGAATGGATTACTGAGTCGTCACGAACAGAGGTCCAATAAATGTTTCTTGACATAGAATCGTTGGTGTTGTGCTCAATTCAGCACAGCCTTTCATAAGCATGGTTTCTGGAAGCATTTGAGGCGCTCGTGGAGTCTAGAGGTTATAGTGACGCCATTGTGCTTCAGTAGCAAACGACAATGTATCGGCTGCGTGGACGTAGCTGCTTTTCTACCCGAAGGCGCTGATGATGATCTGTATGTCGTTGTCTAGTAGCAAAAGTGCCAATCTCTTTCTTTACCACGCGCTAGACTGATTGAGTTTTACATATCCAACGTTTTGCAGCAGTCGAAAGTTGAGAATCTTTGAACCAATCGAAGCTTCCTAGTAATCGACACGTGATACGGATACTAGATAATCCGCTGACAGGCCGTAACCCCGCACCTGAACGCCATCAGGCCTCATCTGAACCAGACAGACAATACCATCGCTCCTGAGATACTACGTCAAGCTGAATCACTTGATGAAATGAAAGCTTTCAGTACATCCTTCGTGCTGTTGACAGTCGTCGTTTGCAGTGTAGCTGCCCAAGGTAATTGCGTTCTTATGACTCCAGTGTTTCCAATACTAAGAGAGAACACAGAAGTGCTTCATCCTGGTAAAATCGGAGTTCACGAAGATGATCAGACTCTGGACACTCTAGTCAATCGCGGTGGCTGGGTAAACCCTGAAGATCTGATCCCCATGCCACAGTGCATCGCTCAACAAAACTATTCCTCTTGGCTAGGTGCGATAACGAAATGTACGGGTAAAAGATGCACTTCACATTTCGGAGTAATTTGTACCCACCACCAGTGGCTCACTCAGCTTAGCTGTCTCAGCACTGAAATTTCCTCTGAGATCGTTCGGGCCTATCTCCCATATTGCAGCCGATCTGTGCTTGCTAAGGCGCAATTATATCGATGGATACGTACAGTCACAGACCGGACATGGCTTGTTGATGTCGGCGACGCCAATGGGTTACAAAGCCTCTCGCCAGCCTCGCTCACTAGAGGGTATGCCACTATGGATGTGACTAATAAGGCACCAACGTGCCTGAAAGACTCGGCTTCTGCATCATCGATAGAACCATTCCAACGCATAATGGCCTCATGTGCTTTCGCATCCAACACTCAGCACACCGGGAATGCCGCTCGGCCATGGGAATACAGTGAATCACTGCGGTCCGTTATCGCATTGGATTCTGAGACGGTCGGTTACGATGTCACTCAGCATAGTATACGATATGGCGATTATTTCGATAAGCAATGCTTTTGTGACGCATTCAGTATAGACCTGGAGTCGGAGCCTTGTTCAGCTCCGGGGCTAGCTTCAACAAGGGAGCGGCTGTGGTTGAATGCCACTTGCGGCTCGACTTCCCTACCCATCAATTGGACAGACGGACTTCAAACGACAACATACGCTTATATTCCTACCGAGAAATGGCGTTGGCCTGATTGTGTCGCTTCTATGCCAAAAAAAGTGATTGGGCTTACTGATCGGTGTGCGACTGACGCTTGCGAGTCTGATTCGAATGGCTTTTGCAAAATAAAGCGTTCAATAGACAGGGCTTGCTTCTGCCGCGATATAAGCTATGGCATTTGCAAGGGAACATGTCATATCTTCGAAACCCGGATAAACTACGTAACATGGCTCCACGACCTTTGTGGCGACGAGTCGGGGTGGCACGGCTTACCGAAGCATTGGCGCCAGTTAGCCGCCCCTACTCCTCTCGACATGATTCCTTGGAGATGGAGCATCAAACCATTCAAAGACTCGAAACCGACCCCTATCAATCATTCGAAATCTCTGAAACCAATGCACGCATGTGCCTCTACCGAATGGAAGCTTGGGAGCCTTGTTTTAATCAACCTAGCCACTTTTCTTGCTGGTTTATTTCGCCCGAGAAATGTTGCCAGTCCCATAACACGTATGTATCTACGCTACCTGCACTCACAACATTGGACTCTGGGAGGGTTTTCGATCGCTGCTCTTCATCTCTGTGCAAATTGGCTCAATGCGGTTCTCATTCAGTCGACCCTTGGGTACGCGGATGTCCCAATCACCCAAATGATACTTCTCTGGTGCTCGATGCCTCGATTTACTTGGTTAACAGTATTGCTGGTTGTCTTCCAACCCCTTCAAGCGACGACGTTTTCCACGGTCAAGTCGTTCCTGTTTGCAGAATCGATCCTCCAGATGTTCTCGGCATATCATATGATCACGGCTGTCAGTTATGGCCGAGAGCATGGCTTCTATAGTCAAGGCATGGCAAGACTAGATAGGGTACTATCTGCTCGATGCCTATACGCGGGAGCACTTATGTGGCTTCTTGTCACTATTGCGGCTTTGGCTCTCCTGCTGCAAGCTATATGTGGGGCAAAAACGTCAACTAGAGGCGCGAGATTTGATGGGTTAGAGCCACGAACTGACAGAAGAACAATTCCGAGTGTTTTGGGGGAGCTAGTCGCGCCATTCAACATCTTTTGGACACGATTTGAAGAGAGCTTACTTCGTTCTTGGCTTGATAAGAGCTGGGTCCAGGAGCAACCGCTGTCGACGAGTAGTGAGGAACAGATTTACACAGTCTATGGTACTTTGCCTTCCAAAGTTCCAGAATATCGGATCATCGAACAAGGCATGGTTAGACTGTTTCTGATCGCAATTGCAAGTATGATCTTCCTGTGGATCGCACAATGGTTGTTTTGGGCCGGGTTTATTGGCCTTAGCATGGAAGAGTAAGTACTCGCACAAATGCCTTGAGGTCAACCCAGCTAATTGCACAAAGATTTTGTCCTCCTAAACTTGGGGTCCTTACGGTCATCTGGATGATCTTCTCGTTGGCTATTGCTGCTGTAGCAGTACTTCCATGAGTCTTACAGTTCTTGATAATTGAGATATCTGCATGTGAATTCTTTGAACGCAAGGAACGACTACAAGAACTTCTCTTGCATTGTTTTTGACGTCTTACACCTAGCTTCTCATAGCATGAACTATCATTTCCTTCAACGATATCATCAAAATCATGTAAAAGAAGATCCACGCTCTCATTTGGAAGCTGATTCGAAACACAAAGCAGCAACAGTATATCAGTGTACACTCTCCACGCTCGCTATCTCCCATGTGAGTAGTTCTTACATGACAAGCGGCGTAGTCGGAGCGGAGAGATAGCGGCCCGACCCCGGAAAAAAAGAACGTGATATTGTGGGAGGTAAGACTCTACCCATATGAGAGCATTCGATAGCGTCATCTCCGAGGCCTACTGCTCGTGACAAGCTCGTCAAGACTGGGATAAAACTAGTCAGCACTAGATCTACCTCCACACAAGAAGAACACATCCTGATTTGCTGCAACCTCGAACAACCTACGAGAGTCTTGGCTGGACTATCTCCAAGTTAGCGCATACGCGGCCATTACCGAAACTGTGGTTTCTACGGATAAGCGGCATCCGATTGGTCACCTCCAGGGTCAAGATCGAAATCTCGTCGGGTAAGCGCAACCCGATTCGTTGACGTCAGTCCTTCTACGATACTTGGAAGCTTGCATCAGCAATCCGATTTGCACGACCGCAGAACTTAGAGGGCAAGAGATCTGGGCCTACTCAGTGCGAGGAGTCAAATGAATGGTGGTTCTGAGAAACGATTTATGTAAGCTGAGGGCACTTCCACTTCTATAAAGGCTGCAACCACTATGCCATATCACTAGAGCATAATTGATGCTTACGTTCGAATTCTTGCTTTCCTCAACTCAACCTCGGCTCGAACACCCAGCATGTCACTTCCCGTCTGGCTCCTAGCCGTGCTTGTGGGGCTCATTGTATACTTGACAACCTACGTTGTATATCAGCGATTCTTACATCCACTAGCCAAGTTCCCAGGCCCTTTCTTCGCATCTCTTACAGATCTCTGGCAGGTCTCTGAGTTTCTCTCCTTGAAGCAGCCGTACAATCTGACTGCTCTCCACGAGAAATACGGGCAGTTTGTCCGGTATGGCCCGGATAAGATTAGCACTACAGCTGAAGATGCTATACCGATCATTTATCAGAAGGGTGGTAGAATGTTTCCCAAAACCGAATTTTACGATGCCTATGGATCGCACATTCCGAACATCTTTGGGATGCGTGACGAATCGGTAAGTTTCTTGGCAGAAATATTGCTGAACTTGTCTTTGATACGATTCCTCAGAAACATTCTGTCAGACGACGACACATGTCTTACAGCTTCTCCGCCTCGTCTGTAAAAAAGATGGAGGACCTCTTGGACGAGAACGTCAAGATTTTGAAGCAGAAATTATGCAGATATGCTGAAAGTGGCGAGGCTGTTGACCTCAAAAGGCTCTTCAAGTTATATACCATTGATGTCCTTGGCGAATTAGCTTTCGGTCGGTCCTTTGCAGTTCAGGAAACTGACGATGATTCCCGCGTACCACCGGTAGTCGAGCATAGCTTGCTCGCGGCAGTGACTGGGGCATGGCCTGCAATGACATTCAGGCTGAAGCGATGGCTTCCAAAGGTGCCTTCTCGAACCTTGAGACGATTGTTCGAAGGCCGTGCAGCCGTTGCGAAACTGGCAGCAACGTGCGTTCAAGAACGACTGACAGCCTTACGGAATGCTAAAGACCTCGACGATGATGCAGCCGCACCAGAACGGAAAGATCTCTTGACTAGCCTCATCCTGGCCAAAGATCCTGACACCGGAGAGAGATTGTCTCAGATCGATCTCGAGGCTGAAGCGTTTGGTTTCATGTAAGTTGTATTCGTCGATGAACAGTCGGCAGAGGTGAAAACTAATCATGGTACAGCATTGCGGGAACCCACACTACGAGTGCTAGCACTTCACTACTCTTTTACCATCTGCTGGAAGCTCCCCAAATCATGGCAAAATGCGTTACTGAGATTGACTCTCAGCTGCCGGCGTTGTGTGAAGACAAACCAGCATATACGCTTGCGGAGGTCGAGGCTTCACTCCCTTTTCTCCGGAAATGCGTCAAAGAGAATTT